CTGGAGCTTACAGGAGCGCACGGTTCTTCCTACCCTTCCCTCCTGAACCGACTGACGCTTGCAGGAGCGCGCGGTTCTTCCTACCTTTCCCTCCTGAACCGACTGGCGCTTGCAGGAGCGCGCGGTTCTTCCTACATTCCTTCAAAATTTCGAGCCGGCTGGCGCTTACAGGAGCGCACGATTCCTCCTACTTTCTTTTGAACCGGCTGGCGCTTACAGGAGCGCACGGTTCTTTCCTCCATTACTACCCATCTCTCTTTCACAAAATTCTTTCTTTCATTACAATAAAGACTATTAACCGTATTAACGACATAATAAAACTACTTTTCCGATAAAATGGTCAACCGCGTCAATTTCAATGTAATCAGCGTGTCATTCAGATCTGTATTAAATAGAAATTCAACCTTTAATATGACGTTATATTCTATTCTCCTTAATCCATCCCCATATCCTATCACTAAAAAGGTATGAAATGATGAACCGGCTCAATTGCTGGTAATAATAATAATAACAATGATAATGAATCTCTTGCTAAATTAACATTTTTCGATTTGACATTAAAGTCTCATTTATTATTGGAGTATTAAGCCTGATGGCGAAAGAGTTCAATAAAATTCTTAAATTACTCAATCGAATAAATTATCATGATGCACTCACATAGAGAAAACTTTGATTTATAGTCGAAAGAATATTAATGAATAACATTAATTAAATTAGATCAAGATTTAATTGATTCCTGTAGCATGCGATACGCCAGTGCTAGCGCTCTCATGGGTTGCCGCTCAGTCTGAGACGCGCGTATATTCTGATCATATCTCCCCTACTCTAATAAACATTCCGCCACTCTCTCAATCTTATATCCTATCCGCCGCCGCGATGGATTGCTTTTCGCTCCTCACTCTGTACCCAGCAGCGATGCGACCGCAAAATATAACGCAGGAATGTTTAAAAATAGGGAGTTTTTGCAATAACGTGAATTCAGATACGGTGAACGCTAAAGCCATGTTATCCTTTTCTTAATTAGTTGTTAAGAAGAAGATAACCTGACCTTAACGTTCACCGTATCTGGATAAACGGTATTGCAAAAACTCCCTAATATCGCTACCGCTCTCTTGAGTAATTGATGACGGTGACGGGACGCGGCAGAATTAAATGCCTAACATAATTGATAACAGCGGATCCGTATTGGCCGGATTGATAAACGGAAAATTGCTGCGTCTTAAACGCAATGAAATAGAAATTCGTAACATAATTGATGACAGCGGTTTGATGTTACGCGAAACTGCTGCATCTTAATTCAATGATTTGGAAACGCGGAAATAATTAAAAATAGTAATTGACAAATTGCGCGTTAGTTAGAAACGCAGAGAATTCCGCATAATGTTTACGTTTAAACACGTTACAGTGGGCGTGCCGTAACAGTGCCGTCATTTTGTAAATAAGAAATACAAAAAATTTTATTATACACTTAAAGATGTATACAGGGTGTCCCAAAAAGGTCGAGACACCTAAATATTTCGTGAAATATAAGTTTTACAGAAAAGTGTTTCAGACAAAAGTTATATGGTTTAAAAATATCTATTTACTGATCCTATCAGTTTGACCTTCGGTTGCGTAGCCAAGGTCAGGTCAAGGTTACATTGATTGTCTTAAATAGAACACCTTATTTTTGATTCAAGAATCTAATAGCTGATGTCGAGAGCTTTCCAAAATGCTATAATGAAATATTTTTTCATGAAGTAGTTTTCAAGTTATAATGCTTCAAAGTTACAGTATCGCCGGCACTAGCATTACCCAAGATATGTAATACCACGCGTTATGTTTTTGTTTGTGCGTTAACTGAAGGTTAAGATTCACGGACCACTAACCGATCTCGCCTTGACTGGCCAGTCTCCAAAATTAAATATTTTGGGTAATGCTAATGCCAGCGATACTGTAACTTTTATTATATTCTTGAATCAAAAATAGGGTGTTTCATTTAAGAAAATCAATGTAACCTTGACCTGACCTTGGCTACGCAACCCAAGGTCAAATTGATAGGATCAGTAAATAGATATTTTTAAACCATATAACTTTTGTCTGAAACACTTTTCTGTAAAACT